ATGAAGTTCAAGTCAACAATTTGCCCGAAGTAGAATCAGAAATTTCATCTAGATGAATGTTCTTATTACCAGGCCATTTTAGGGCCTTTTCCTTTCTCCTTCCCTTCAGATGTTTTTCTTTCTTTTTCATCATGTTTTTATCCTGAGTCAAGAAAGCTTTCCTACTGAAACTGGGGAGTGTAGTCCCATCATCAGTTTTGACTGGGACAGGAAAATCCCCAACCAGCTCCCCATAGCAAATAGTTTACTTATTTTTCCTAATGACACAGCCTGTGGGGTGTCTGAATTAAAATGCCCATTTCCAAAGACTCCTATTCTTTATTTTGTCCCTGGTATCAGATGTACTTGGCAAGAAAGTCAACAGTGACTCAGCTGTAGTTTTGTATCCAGGCTTACCTTGCCTGGGTGAGAATGGAGCAAGCACACTGTTGGTCCCTTTCTATCCTTCGTATACTATAAACAAGATGCAAGACACAGCTGGTGCATATGGCAGCAACTATAGCATCATCATCAGATATTCCTCAAAAACGGAAGAAGTTCCCCTGGAGAGTCTCTGGCCATTTTAAGGCCAATCTGTGCTGTGGTTGACAGGCAAGCTCTAAGTCTTTCCAAGGCAATTCTATTGCTGACTATAGGCAACATGAAAAATTTTCAATCCAATGTTTACTTTGGTGATCAGAGGATCAGATAATGTGAAAATAAAGTACCATCTTCAGTTAAGGATTCACACTGGTATTTGTCTGGATATTGCAGTTGAGGAGAATCTGATTGTGTATATCCAACTGCTTAGTGCTGCTTCTGGCTTGTCTGAAACACATTTCCTTTCCTTGTCACAACTCCCAGGTGCTACTGCTGAGCAAATAGTAACATCACTGCCAGAAGTATTTGAAAAGAACAAAAAAATTTATTTGGACAATCTGTGTGCTGTTGCCATTGATGGAGACACAACTGTGAGTAGGGTTAGGGCTGAGGTCATAACAAGGTTAAAAGAAAAGCGCCCAGGAATTCTGTCCTGTCACATTTCACACTGAATTGCTCCTGTTTTTCAGCAGATGCTACAGAAAATGCACTGTGCTCCATTAAATACGGGGAATCATTTAGCTACATTTACAAGCTACCTTGAAAATTCACTCCAGAATTACTGTACTTGAAAGGTTACATGGAAGGGCCTAGGATATTGCATCATGCAGGCACTAGATGCTATATTTACATGTGCAACATAAAAGCAAGGAACAAAGGCAGGAATGAATGGGGCCCTGGCTGTTTACAAGTGAGGGTGATGTTGCTGTCCTTATTCAAGAGTATAATGCACCTCATCTGAAGTCAGGGAAGACTGTAGCTATCAGGTGAGAATCCTGGTAGCATGGTAAAGGTCATTGTTCAGATAAACATATTCTCTATAACACTGGGGTTTTTTCTCTCCTGCATGGCCCCGTACAAGCAAGAGGCTTGAAGTTAATCACAAGGTAGACTGGTAGGTTATTCTGTCTAGTCCTTATCTGCACCTGTGCCTGTTCTCTCCTACTTACTTGGGAGCGTGTAACCACCTTGAACACCCAACAGAGCAGCATGCAAGCATTTACATGATCAAAGGCAAAATGTGCTTAAGACAGACTTTGGAAATCCAGCACAATTTGGCAAACTTCAAAGATAGTTGCCTTTCAAATGGGTTGTGGAGGAGGCCTTGGTAAATTTGAATGGTATGATTAGCATACCGGCTGTTTTTAAAACTGCTCAAGAAGAAGCTGTGTTAAAATCCATTTCCGCAAGACACACGCATTTTCTTTTGGACAGGCTCCACTAGCTCTGTTTCTTAAATCAATTTTTCTGGCACAGATTTCTTCTTGGAAGAATGTACGACACCAGCTCAGTTTCCTAACCAAAACTTGACAGAATGTGTGCAGCGCAGCATAATGGCATCTCTACTTCATGGCTTCCTAAAAGTTACAGTACAGAAACCTAGGAGGTGAATTTGACTATTCCAGGTCACATCTGTTGAAAGGCGAGTGAGACAACAGGAGATGCCAGGGTAGTCTGCCCAGCACAATGTTCAAACACTGGTGAGGGCCACTGATAAAAGGTTTGCCAAAACAGGAGTTGCCAAGGTCTTAGAGGAGTTTCAGGGATGTGTTCAAGTCTTACTAGATTTAAAGGATGATCCTTGGCAAACTCCCCCTGATGCTTCTCAGCATTTCTAGAGCCAATAGTTGTTCCATCTGCTGCTGAGGCCGACTTTGAAGAATCCTTGCAAAGAGCAGCGAACTAACTTTAACACTATACAAGAGGGAGAAAAGCACAGCTTTTCAGAAGTGACCTAGATGTTTGCCAGTAGCTTGACACACTTGCAGGTAAGGCTGTCTCCTTGTCTCCAAACACTTGAGCGTATTACCAAAGCTGCGCCAGTGTAAACTGTGGGCTGAAAATAGAGATTCAGCAAACAGCATCTATTGAAAGCTTGTCTAAGGCATTAACTGTTCATCTGTGGAAGTATAACGTACAGTAACAGCGAGAAAGACCACCACTAACTAACTTCATGAACCAAGTTGCTGCTGGGGATTAAAAAAAAATTATTAAAAAATGGCTGTAAAACCCAGACAGCTTGTCTAAGGCATTAACTGTTCATCTGTGGAAGTATAACCAGCAGTAACAGCGAGAAAGACCACCACTAACTAACTTCATGAACCAAGTTGCTGCTGGGGATAAAAAAAAAATTATTAAAAAATGGCTGTAAAAACCAGTTAAAAAAATTTAAAAAAAAAAAAAAAAATCAGCAAACAACAAACTTTCGGCACTGTTGAACACAAACAAGCTTTGAAAAAGCAAAGGAGGGTTCACACAGACACAAATGAAGGTGTTTAGTTTCAACACATAAGCTTCAGTTTCTGCCACTGTGACGGATTTGCCAGCGTGTTTTCTGAGCCAGGCCACTGCACTATTGTATAAGCTTTATTCTAATTACTGTAGGCTCTATAAAGGTTTCTTTATCATTTAGTATTATAAATAATTGTGCTTCCAGGCTGGAGTTCAAAGCTCAGTATAGCATTCGCACAACAGCACAGGCAGGTCAGGTGACCTTTCTCCAATTCTCCTCTTTCTGGTGCTGAGGACAGACAAAGTGATATGTCTGTCATACGCCATTACCATTAGAACAGAACCTTGTTCTTTTATTACAACTGAACTCCGCCGGATTTCTCAGCAGGAATGCTAAGTGAAATCAATGTCTTGGATTTCCAGGCTGAGCTTGGAGGTCACAGCTACTCTATCATTTCTCAGCATTATCCCTTCTCTTTCTCTCGCTCTCTCTCTGAGCCTCCAACTGGCACACAGCAGATTGAAAACAGCATGCATCACAGGGCTCACGCTGCACAATTTTACAGCCTTTTGGAGCCCCCTTCCTTTCCTTTTGGCCCACTTTTTTTTTTTTTTTTCAATTTGCAAATAAGTTTTGTTTGTGTCCTACGGAATTGCAAGCCAAAGGCACTGGAACACCTACAAATATGAAAAAGCAATAAAACACAGGGGAGAACAGGGCTGATCTTGACAGCTGCCAGTAAGACTGTTATGCTTGATGTTACCGGTAGATATGGCAGGCCTTCTAATTCCACAGTTGCCACAAAATAAATACTGTGTCCCCTTAGACCTCATCAGACATTCTGCTTGCGCACAAAAGATCCAAAAACAACACCGGGATTTTAAGTGTAGGGGATCTCGCAAGCTACTAGCCACGCACAAAAAAACCCTTGTAAAATGCACAAAAATCTCTTGTTAACCATAGACACGACTTTTTGGAAAAAAATCCCAAAACTATCATCAAGCACTGCATGGCTTTGTAATTCCTTGCTCTATAGTATATAAAAGAAGAGGCCAAGCCAAGGATAAACTTCGGGAAGTCAGAAAGCCTACGCTGAGGAGAGAAGAAAGAAAACGTAGACCCAGAGCTTGATTCATTAACACAACAGCTACTGGTTCCACACCATCTATTTTATTCTTTGAACATGTATCTCACTGAGCTGACAATGGTATTACTTATTTGTCTGGTTACTTTTAATCTGTGCTGGTTTACTGTTAGGGTAAAAACAAGTACTGTCAAGGAATCTTTTCTGATATGATAAAGGACATGGACAGCATGCTAGAGGATGCTAACAAAAAGAAAGGACGTATTTTTATCAAACTCTTGCTGTCATCTAAATGGGACTGCTTTTTCCCTGCATTCCTTAGCTGAATTCTTCCTAGTTGTTTTGCAACACCTAAGATGTGCCATTCAATTTTGACCCGCTACTTTTGTTCAGCTGTGGCATATGCTGAGCTCATCTTCTTCCACTGGAGATATTCTGTGTCTTTTTTTCTAGGTATAACTAGTTACGCACTGGTGGCGTTATACATATGTGACTACGAGCTGCTAGCTTGACCTCTTAAATTAGTACGGACCTAATTGCCCAGCTGTGACCAAGATTACTCATCAGAGCCCATCGCTTGATGGGCAGATTCCAGCCCTGTTCTATGACACAACAGACATTGCTTTGGAGACTTGTTCCTCCACAAACTCCCACTGAACCCCAGGAGGAGATCTGTCCACAGATGAGATGCCCCACCGCTTTCCACCTCTCGTTGACACACTGCTAACCTGACTCCGGTTTAGCGTTCTGAAAGGAAACGACAGTTGTGTGCTGAAACAGGAGCTGGTGACCTCAGCCTGCTTCCCGTTACTGAAGGTGGAAGAAACAGCAGTGTGATAGCTAGGACACTGCAAGGGAACCCACAGGATCTCAGCTGAGGTGGTGTCTGTTATTGACGTCGTGTATGAATGGTTGTTTGGTATTACTGTGCTGGGGTCCTCCCACTGGAAAAATGGCACTACGAATACCCTCCTATTCCAGGAAGCCATCCTGAGAACAAAGCTGCCTGCAACTGAGAGGCACACAGATACCCCTCAGAAAAAAAAACCACATGCAAGTACCCACATTGTCAGAAACGCAATGCTGTAGGGCCTGGTACAGTACCTTGCTTTTGGGTGGAGGGCTGTTTGTGCTCTTGTCTGTGTGGATGCTGGTAGGGGATACAGCAGCACCAAGGTTACCCTGGGGTATGCCAGGTATCTTGCCTCCCGGAGACACTTGCATCGCAGCAAGTTGGGCAGCATACAACTGCTGTAAAAACAAACAAACAAAAAGTGGGGTGTGTGTTGGGGGGGAAGAGAGAGAGAGAGCGCGGAGAGACATCATCAATAAGTAAGTAATCTTCCCAAAGCTCCTCCTACTGCAGATGATGTATTGCCCTTCTGATGGGTATTTTTTATTTAGCACACTGGTATATTTCGAGACAAGAATTGTCATCTCAACTTTTGTGACTCATTCCTCAGGGGGCAAATGACAGACGTCATCATGAGAAATGTCCCAGCTTCCCTGTGTGTCCAGGGATTCAAAACAAGGAACAAAAGCTAATCTTCATGGTTCGCCTGAGCCACTGGGCAATCTTTCCTTTCGTGAGACGACTTAGGCATAACAGCATCTTCACTGATAAGATGCCTTGACCCCTGTGAAATTCACATGATATTTGATATGATGGTCTCTGTGCTACCATTTTATGTTTCTTTATCTTACTTGCTATGTTTGCCTTGTTTGCACAGGCTGTAAAGTGTTTGGGACAGGGAATGTCAAAATTTTGTTTAGCACTTACTGTGAGAGCCCACTCTCCGTTGGGTTCTGGGGAACCACTACAGTCAATATAAATATATACATATCAATGGTAACGTACTGTCCATTAGCAACTAGAAGCTCCAATTAAGACTAAGAACCCTTTCTGTGATAGATGCAAAGCAGATACAGAGTGGGAATGTTTTTCTCTTCAAAACTAAACCAGTAAGGCACTTTAAACACATATTTGATTATTAGCATGTGAATACTTATAATCACAGTCATCTGTTTAAAGTTAAGCACTACAGTAAGAGTTTAATGGACAGAGGTCAAAAGCAGAGAGAAAACAGGCAAACTAGCAGTGCCTGGAATCTCCCCTGACTTCCAAATAAGTAGTGGAGAAAATAAACATGGTGGGCAGGAGAAGCAGCAATTGTTGCTGCTTTGTGAATAGAGAAGAATTCAGGTGAAGCCAAATAGAAGTCAGATGCTTGAGAGAGCAGGTAATGTAGTAACAAGGGCTTTCCCTCCTCAGTCACAGTATCAGTTTCAAAGACTCATGCTATGTATTATTTGTGCTGTGCAGTACATGCGTAATGTGTAACACTGAATGATGGTGCGCTCTGCCTGCAGGTGCTAACAGAGCTTCCAAGATGCAATGTGACAAGGGGTAACATGCAGGAACATGAAAGTGGATGTGAAAAAACAAGGGGGCTTCAATATGACTAGTCTAAGAAGTCTTGTTGGTGGTGCTTAGTTGTTTTGCTGTTGTTTTTTAGTTAATTGCATATGCTGATAAAAGAACAAAGGTCAGATTGGAGGGCACAAAGAAATGCTAACCCAAACCAGAAAGTCTGAAAGAGGAAAATGAGGATTCGTTACAGGAGTATTTCACATGGGGCTGTGCAAAAGGTAGAGAGACACTGCTAATGTGAGTTTAGAGTACATAAGCCCCGTAGCAAACACTTAACTTGATCAAACGGGCAAGATTTACTGCTCTGAGTCTCGGACAACCCTGGACATTGTCCCGTGGTTCCCTGTACAAACTCTTCCCTTCACTGGTGCACAATCCATAGCCCTATGTTATTTCACATAATTAAAAGTAACCCATTTCGGCTCTTTTAGGTGTAATCAGGCACCAAGTTCTTACTTATTTCTCTTTCACTCTTTCTATTGTTTTCAGACTTTCTATTCTTTTCAGTTTTGAATCCTTTTTATTTATTTTCTCTACTTTGATCACTGCTTGTTCCTTATTTTTCTGTACTTCTTAATCATCATTTATCTATCCCTTCCTGTTTAGTCTCCCTCTTTCCCTACCATTCATTCATATATTCATCCGTTCTCTCGTTGCCTCTTCCTCAAATTTATTTCTTCATTTATTCTGTGTTACCCCCAGCGAGTCTGAGCCAAATAGATGCAAATCAACTACAGATAAAAGTCATCAAAAACAATCCAGCCACAAATCAGTCACAGATTCAAATGCATGTATTTATCAGTTCAAGTTCATATCCATTCATTCGTTCAAAAGAAGACTAAATCCAGCAGGGAGAAAGGAACAAGGGTCTGTGTGAACCAGAGAAGAACTGTAGCAGGCAGTTGAAGGAAAACCAAGCCAGCTTTATGTAAGAATTAATATATCAGAAGGGCAACAGTTGTTTACGAAATAGGATAGATGACTAGGGAATAGCTCAAACATAATCAGACTCTGGTGATGACTGAGCAGATCTAGGGAAAGCTTTTCCTTTTCTTTTGCTCCCTATTGAAAAAAAATGACAAAACAAATTGAGGCAACTAAAAGACAAAAGAAAGTCAAACGGCCATTGAGCAGGAAAGGTTCAAGCTTGCTGCTAATCTATAGATTAGGTATCAGAGAATATGTCTAGTCCACAAGCAAAGGTAAAAATAACATAGTCAGTTTGGACACTTAGCAGTCCTGAAACCAACTGCAGATCATTGACAGGCCATACAGGAACCAGCCTATTGAGGACAGCCCCCCAGAAACTTCTGTGAGGCTTTGGGGAAGACTTTTCAAACAGAATCCTTACCCTGAAAAGAGAGGGAAATCTCTACCTCAAACATAGCTCTCAACCTTCTGTTGAGGTCCAAAGAATGAATCACAAGAACTAAACTATATGAAACACATGCACAGCATGGTGTCCAAGAATCTGTACCACCTAACACCTGTTCAGTGGTCACTAAGAAATGTGTTGGAAACCATGGTTCCTCCTTACAGTATTGTCGTCAACCACCCTTTTGACAATGCATGCAAAGCAGACGATGACTAAATAAGCATGGGGGATGAATTTCCCTATGCAACAGCCCAGGAGAAAGCCATATTTTTAGGTTATAAATGGAATATATGGAATTTCAAATGCATGCCTTATTCTCAGTTCAGGGACAGATATACCTCAGGAGAGTGAAGCACGCAGTCTAGTGTGGAGTAATCTGGAAGGAGGGGTGGAAGAAAACCTATAAAAGCCTTCATTCATGCTTTGTACAAACTTCTGTCCTCCTGTTATCAGATTCAACATCTCACCTCTATTTAATTCATTTTGAGAATTAAAAACAAACATTAAATAAAATCGTCTAAGAGGTGCCTTGTTAGAATACCCTCTGAAAAAGTCCCTTCCTGCAACACAAACCAACTATTCTACTGAAAAGCAACATCAGGCCCAGCTCTAAAGTGAAAAACATGTAGCTTATGAAATTGCAAGGGTCCAAATCCTATTTAACCAGCAAGATTGCTTCTATATTCCCCCCCAAATCCTATTTAACCAGCAAAATTGCTTCTTTTTTCCCCCCCCCCCCCCGATTTAAAAAAATGGACAGAAATATACAACACACAGCACATTTCTTAGACTGTCAATATTTTTGAGCTCTGACATTATTGAACCTGCCTGTTCGTATTTAGTTATTTTAGGACATGATGACCTTTAGCTTAAACCCAAGGAAAGGGCAAAGGTGTGGCCAAGTGCTGTGAATCAAGACAGCTAAATGACAACAATTTATGCATTCATTTCATAGACAAACTGAACTCCACCAAAAGAACTTTTCTACCCCTGCTTCCCCAATAGAGTTTCAGATTTTGGAACAGTGTATGAATCGGTCTCTGTTGAAACATTCAACCATCAGCTAAAATGCACCCTTATACTTTTCACAGTAATGAAACCAAGACCTCAAAAAGTGCAATGAAAATGATGTTATTCTGTATCACCTCTGTAATACACTGTTCTTGAGCCTCTTAATTTGTACCCCAAACAGGGACTCCTGAAGCCACTTCTGCTACCTTCAGCTAACCTAAAGGCTCAGTCTCAAATTCTAGCGCTCAGGGAGGTAATTTTGCTGCACTACAACTCATACAGGACTTTCAGCCTATAGGGTCTTGACTGGTTTATTGTGACCAAGGCATTCAGTTGAAATCAGTGAAGCACTACTGCTTTAGACAAGTTTATTTTTGCTATACATAATAAATAAGGGTAATATTCTGAATTTAGTAAGATAGATAATACTTCTTCAAGAAGGCAGAATTTGGCTTCTGAAAAAGCAATTAAAAAGTAACATCTATTGTTTGTTTATAAATAAATAACTATGTTTCAGCTCCCCTGCCCATGTGCAATACTGCATGCCTTGTTAATGTTTTCTCATTAACCTCTTACGAAAATCTGTATGGAAGCAAAATCATCAGAACAAAAGCACAATGTGATACACTTTAAAATGAGCAGGAGGTATAGTTATTTTTTTAATGTTGCCCCTCTGTTCTTAAGCTATTAAACAAGAATTCCCCCTTCTCCCTAGGTCACCACCTAAACCATTTAGAATTCTTCCAATATATTAAGCAGAAATATTCAGCTGAACTCTCCAAATGGACTAGCTCTAACAGCTCTTGGCTTGATGACTCTGTAGTACATCAATAGCAAAGCCTTAAGGTTAGACCGGCTTTGAAAACTTTCCCCTTGGGCATTGTTGTTACATGTTAACAATGCTCATTACTGCTTTGAGGGTACACTAAAAATGAATTCTTGTTCTATTAATACAGAAAATGAGAATGAGTTTTAATGGCAATTTTAAAAAGGTCTGAACAAAGTGTTAGCAATTACACAGGCAGAGATAGTTGATTCAAGCACCTATAGGCATTTGGATTACAGTATTATCTCTTATTAAAATATTTTTATTAGTGAACAGTAGAGATTAAGAGCTGTTATTAAAAAAACCACAGAGAGATAGAGACAGGTGGTACTGGAAACCGAATCAGTTACTGCAATAAATTTGTTTCTGATATAAACTAGTTTTTCAGTGGAGTTACCACAGTGGTGAATTTACAAACCACTGTGCTTAAATGTTTGAACTGTTGACTGATCCAACACTTCGATTTCTTTGTCATTCGGAGACCCATCATTAAAAATATACACATGAATGGCCCTGTCCTTTGATTTTTGCATAATCTGGGGGAAAAAATGGTATAAATTGAGATTCTCTCATTCAGAATACATGAATTCCACTTTCTTTACCTCAAA